AAATAACTAACTTTTTCTTAACTTTTTACCACCTTTTTATCACCTTTTCAGCCATTTTTAAGCAACTTTTTAAGTACCTAAAACACTTTTTTAGTCACCTAAGAATCAATGCTTTATATATTAAAGTATCATAATGTATATAGCTGTCGATAGGCCTTTTTCAAAGGCCTTTCTCTTTTGTTTCTCTCATGTTGATTGGCCACTGTATCAGTTCACACTGTTTGATTGACTTTAATCTTAGCGCATAATATGAATTTTAAAAGTTTGGACAGCTGTAATAATGTATTTATTAACTTGTGGATTGACATATTTGCCGGTATAAACTTTGGGGACACCCTTATAGACATCGGGTCCGCCGATATCGTTGACTACAATACCAGGCGTAAGGTTTTGGGAATTAATGACAATATGGTCGTAATGCATGATAATAACATTGCTCTCAGGTATGCCATAAGCCTTGAACAGAAGGTACGCCCGGTAGACAATAGTCTAGTATTTATTACAAAAATAATTATTATTATTTTAATTTTAATGTAAAACATATTATTGTTATGGCTAGGACTTTAGTGCAACTTTAGTGCAGTTTTGTTTCTAATATACATTTTTAAAAAATACAATAATGATAATCGCAACTATTTTATAGACTATTATAACATAAATTGAATACAGGATTTTTTGTTACCCTTTGACTAATTCACTATTTTATGAGTCTGAATATTAAATGACTCATCAAGCCCTAGCTCTAGTTATTGTGTAGATTAAACATACTTGATCAGCATAGTTGCCCCAACCCCTACTGCCGGCGCACAATACGACCCATTTCTGGCCATTGCTAGCGTTTGGCAGTCCGTTACAGACGGCGATATACAGTACCGACAAATTTAATGCTACTTTCATTATTATAAAGTAAGTTAATTTAATACAATAAATAAGTTTATTATATTTTTATTATATATATTATCTCTCACATGAGACCGACCGTAAGGTCTTACAGAAAGTGCCTTAAAGTGTAACACAAAATACTTGATATTACGGGTAGTTTATTAACAATTAATGTGTAAATACAGTTTATTTACGTTAATAGCATCATAGTGTTATGTATGATAGCTTCGGTTTCAAAACCGATCAAGAAATTAATTCTATTTAGATACTTCTTCAGATAATTAGCCATTTGTTTAAAAAGTCTTATAATTATAAAAGCCCTGTAATTGACAATATTTTATGTTAATTTAAAATTAACTAGATATAAACTTACCTTAATTTGTTGGTGGAATCCGTAACAGAATCGAGACGACAAATTAGTATCTCTAGCGATGCGTCCAATTGTGACCATTAGTGACCCAATGAAATATAATGATTGTAATCATAAAATAATAAAAATGGCGGGTATTTTGTTAATATAATTTTATAGTTTAGTTTATTAGTTGGTTTAATAAAGTTCCATATGGTTATGTTAAGCAATTCTGTTTATCATATAATAGTAATAATGATTTCACAATTTCAAAAACAGATGGAAAATATAAAAGTAAAAAAAATTGAATAATTTATATAAAACTATCACAACTTTTTAAAATCAAGTCACTTGTAGTTCACTCGTCGACCCGTTTAGAATAAAACTATATATTTGAGAATTATTCAATAAGTATCTACTTTTGAAAGTAAGTCACTTTAATATATATTTTTTAATATATCGGTATTAAAGTTGCAATTAATACACAGGCAAACATGAACAAGATTGTCATCATGCTGGTCGTATTTGCAGTGGTGTTGTCGATCAATCAGGTTGATGGTCAACACACTGGTCAAGATGGTGCTGGCTTTGGGGATTCGAGTAGTAAAAAGGTGAAAGCAAAATGGAGCAAAAAGACATGTAAGACACTCAACAGCGGCATGGAATGCGAAAACACTCCGGAATTTTCAAAAACTGACGACGTCCTTTGCCGGCCAAAGAGCGGAAACGAACGAGATAAAAAAAGTTTTCATTGCCAATTACAACCGAGTAGGGTTGGAAAATAATAATAATATCAATTTCCGTACAATCGATAATAATTGTTTTGAAATGTACTTGTATATTCATTATTGTTATTATATTGAATAAATAAAATTTGTATAACTTATGATTTTTGTTCATTTTGTAATTAAATGCTTGTATGTTGTTGTAGTAAAAAAATAATTTCTTATATAATATAACACAATAAATTGATTGACTTTTAACTTAATTTTTATTAGTTTTGTTTATTTTCAGTTATTTATTTATATTATCTGGTTAATAAAAATTTATTTCGTGACCAAAGTTCCATATATGATTAATATAAATATTAATTCTATTTACAATATAATATAATACTGTACATATTATGTGATAATTGTAATAGTGAACTGATTGTAAAAGTTTATGTTAATGTAAATTTTATGTATACTAAAAAATCATTGTCATAAAATTATATGCTTAAAAACTAGCGTATCGCCCGGTTTTAAGGCACATTATATTTAATGTATAAAATGTGATTAAAAATAGCGATGTATCTTAATAGCATAATTTTTATCAAATATACAGAATTGTATTAAAATAATCTTGCTAGAATTTGATTAAATACTAATGTTTTTTAATAAAAATTTTTATTAATTAAGTAAGATCATAATACGATCATAATATGTTGTTGATAATTGTTATAAATATTTAATTTTTAAAGTTATTTTTATGTATTTATTCTTAATAACTTATATCGGGTCGGTTCGCAACTAGGGCTATAATTAGTGATAAAAATATCAATCAAATATTCAAATGAATCTTTCATTTAGGTTAAACTTTAGCCTATAAAATGTAAAATTGTTATATGTTTTTGAGTTAAATAGTTTTAATTGCTAGAAATATATAATCAGCATATTCATTTAAATATTTATAATTTAAAACAACTTGATAAAGTTTTTGGGCCACATTCTGGTCAAGATTCCAGTTGATTGAGTGCGATATTTGGGTCATTCTTATCGCGAAGTGTTTCCAAAATAATCACAAATAATTGAATTTTCTTCTAAACCTATGGATTCTGTTAGTAATATATAAACAATAAATTAATTTAGTTGAAAAATTTAAAATAACAAAAATATAAATATATAAATACGATAAATTTACAAAAATATCATATTCTAAGTAAAACACTTTTTGATAGATTTTTTTATAAAATTTTGTTTTAATTACACTTATATTGTTTTTGTATAGCATGTGTCTTAATCCCGATCAGCAAGTAAATAGTATCTTGGTATTTATTCAGATGATTATCCACATAACATTCCATTGATTAAGTTTTAAATGTTTTTTAAAAGTTTTGTAATTACAATATTTAATGTAATTTTAAAATTAACATGTCATAATTTACTTCAATTTTTCAGTGTTATTCGTACCCGAATCGAGACCTCTTAATATCATCTCTAAAGGTCCGTCTAATTGATTGACCATTAATGACCTTAATAAAATATAATGATAGAAATAATGTAACAAACATGGCGTATATTTTGTAAATACAATTTTGTATTTTGTTTTTAATTTATTTATTGATATTCCATATGGTTATGTTATGCAACTCTATTTATACTGTAGTTCTAAATAGTAATAGTCCACAAATAATTTCATTTAAAATGATGATTATAACTTGTACAAACTTATAATAAATTGTGATAACTAATAATAACTAATAAACTAATAAATTAATAGTTAATATTATATTAAATAAGCCATTCAAACAAATTAAGAATAAGTTTTTTATAAAATATAAATTTTATATCACAATAAATTAATAGACTTTTAAGATAATTGTTATAAATTTTGTTATTTGGAACTTATTTACTTCTATTATTTAGTTAATAAGCATATGTTTTGTTAACTAACTTCTATAAATAATTAATATCAATAAGCTATTCTATTGTGTAACAATTGTAATAGTTAACTGATTGCAACTGTTTATGGTAATGCAAATTTTATTTATTATTCTCCTCCATTTACTTAAGTCTACTACTTTATATTAAATAATCATTGTATAAAATATTTGTTTTGTAAAATTAATTTCAAACTGCTGTAACATTTAATGGGGTCTTTCATAATTTGTAACAAATAATTAAGGTATCACATTTAAGACATTGTACAAGTCTTTGACGTGGAGTAGAGTATTTTTGGGAATAATACAATCTGTGTAATAATTTTACTATACTTATATATGTTTTTACATTGATAATCATTGGGAAACTGTCAGTTTCTATATGTTTGTGTTTCTATAGTGTCGCGATCAGTAATGAGCAGACTTACGGGCGAAGTATGACCACTACTGTCACAACTATTAGGTGTGGTCGCCGACGGTATTAAGCCCTAAGTGAGGGCTAAATAACGGTACACTCGCTTAACACATATAACAATACTTTATTAATAAGAGTAATGCCTTCGAAGAGGACTTAATAATGACTGCGAAGTAATACATAGGGAAAGGGGTCCTTATATACTGTATAATGACATTGAGATAATGATAGGCAATGAGTATAGTATGTGCACATCGTA